ATTGACACAATAAATGGGTACTAACCTATCCATCGCAGGGATTACTGATTGCATCAGATGCTCCTGTTAAATGACACTTCAAATATTCTCACTTTCCACAGATAGGTGGAAGACAAAAGGATGCAAAAGATATTCTGTGCAGACAGTGAGCAGGAAGGCAGATGTGACCCATAGTAACACCAGACAAAGATGACTTCAAGACAAGGAGTTGTACCAGAGATAAAGAGGGACCTTCAGCGTGATAAAAGTATGGATTCATTAAGAAGATATAACAATCCCAATATGCATGCATCTAGTAACAGAAATTCAGTCACATGAAGCAAAATTGATAGAACTAAGAACAGAATAAGCAAACCCACAAATGTAGGTTTATATTTTAACATAACTTCCTCAATAATTACAGAACAAGTGAGGGGGGGATCAGTACAGAATTTGAAAATATGAATACAACTATGAACCAGCTTGACATTCACAGACCCCCACACCCAACAACTGCTGCGCTCATGTACCTTTCAAATGCACAAGGGGCCACTCACCAGAATGGGTCATATACTGGACCATAAAACAAGTCTCAAAAATTTCTAAAACTAAATATAGAGTATATTCTCTGACTATAAAGGAGTTAAAGTCAATAGCTAAAAGATAGTCAGAAAAGTTCCAAATATTGAGAAAGTAAGCAACATACTTCTATATAACATATGGCTCAAAAAATTACGTGGGAAATTTAAAAAAAAAATTTCAAAATAGTCAGTATTAAAAACACAATATATTAAAATATATAGGATTCAGCTAAAGCAGTGCTAGAGAAAAATGTGTAACTTTAAACGCTTAGATTAGTAAAGAAGAAAGATTTAAAATCAACGATATATCATTCCATCACGTAAAACAAGAAAGTAAACAGAAAACGAAATGCAAAGCAAGTAGAAAGAACTAAGAGGGAAGAGCAGAAATAATAGAGAAAGTCGTGAAGCAACGTAGCCAAGTGGTACCAGCTTTCGACTTGTGGAGTCTGTGCTTTCCGTTCATGCAAACTTTAGCACTGAAAGACCTCCTTTATCTTGAGGAGAACGAGAACATTTCCACTGAGCTTGAAACTGTTACCACCTGAACATTACCACCTGGTTCTTTGAGCTCCTCAATATCAAAGGATCGACCAACAGAGAAAAGTTACAATATTGGTAGGAGAGATTGCCACTGGTTACCATGGGAGTCAGGGTTATTGTTACACAGTGGGCTAAGCAAGGAACATATCCAGAAACCTGGGGGTTCCTTGAAGCATCTCCTGGTGCCCCCATGCTTATTGACGATGGTGAACACTAACCTACAGGCAACGTGGCCTGACAAGGTCAAAGCAGACTCTCCAGTGAAGCCTGGGTTGCCCTGCGAGGAAAGAGATCTGGGTCAGCCCAAGTGTTGCCTAAAGATGAGAACTAAGACTGGATGCTGGAGGAGAGGGCTGAGGAATATCAAGTATAGCCTCAAGACCAGCAAGTTGGTCTCCCGCTACTATGTATGAAGTCTTTGTGGAGGTTTGGCTGGCTACCACCGCGCAGGGACTTTGAGATAGATGTGACATAGAGGTAAAGGAGAACATGAGCGTATCTGAGAGGTGGAAGGGGTCAACTGTTAATGGATGTCATTCTCATGCTATTTTATATTGTCTCAGCCCCATCTCTCACCCTACCCGCAGTGGCAGAGGCCAGTTCCAAGAAAGGGTTGATTTGTTTTGCAAAGAGCGTTGCTTCAGGCCCACACCGCATTCCCCTTTCTCTTGCGCTGGGCGTCTCTGATGTAATGGCCTGGCACCTGCCATGGGATCTCCCTGGGCACTCCAGCACGGATCGCCTGAGAGGGCGGGGCTAATGCTATGGCGCCGGCGTTCAACAATGGGGACAGGAGCCCCTTCAGAAGGTCCTATATTGTGGATCCCCCAGAGTGGTGTTCAGCTTAATAAAAACACATTGTTTCATTGACTTTTCATCCTTCTCTGTTTCACATGATCTGCCCTTTGGTCCTGCTCCCTGGGATCATCCCAGATGAGTTGCCTTCACTCAAGTCTTTGTCTTAGCCTCTGCTTAGGGAAAACCCAGCCAAGGACACAGATCTTTATAACAGAGAATGCATTTCCTCTGGCCACCCGCAGCTACATTCATTGTTAACTTTCTTTAGAAACCATTCAACGCAACCAGAAGTGAGTGTGCTTGGATAAGGCAATACCACTCTGGAGAACTGAGGCTGGCCAATTTCTAGAAAACTTTCTTTCTCATTGACCTCATTACTAACGGTCCCATTTTTGCCCCTCGTTCTTTTTCTTCTAGGACTTTGAAATAACACACCCAGTGTCTTTGCAACAAACAAGGAAAACAACACTCTAGCGAATCTTTCCACATTAACCCTGCCGGTGGATGTCCAGTATTTATCAGTAAATAACCGGCGTATGAAAGTATTCCCCCTTATCCTTTTGTTGTTGTCATTTATTTTCCTTACTATTTACAGAGTCATGAAACCTTGTTTTCTTTCCTTCAAATGTAAAAGACTATTTTCTTTGGCACAGCCCCAGAGGACAGCAACAGTTAAATCCGCTGCTGTGTGAAAGTCCAATTTGGTTAGAAGTTACGCAAAAGGCCATGAGAGCAGGTGACCTGGTTATACGACGTAGCCCCGGGAAGCTCAGAATATTTTACTTCCTGTCCTTTTTGCCAGAATGCTGGTTTTTCCTGGGCCAATAGTAATTTGGAATAAGGTCAAGATTCATTCTAGTTGGAATATCACGCACCTTGCTTTCATACAAGCAATTTCGTAGCCTTACAAAACCAGGAGGAAAAACGGCGAGAGGAAAATGACAGATTTAGCTCAGGGTTCTACATGACAAATGGCTCTTGACAATCTTCTCAGGTCAATCTTGGGAGAGGAGTCTCCCTAACAAAGCAAAAGGATTGACCGCATACATACACATCCATCATACTTGAAGAGAGATTTAGACAGTGTAAAAAAAATAAAACAAAAGAATAAACTTCAAAAGAATACAGCAACTGTTCCCAGTGACTCAAAAAGGGGAAAGAAATTAGAAAGCGGAAAAGCAGGAGCTCAGGAGTGAAAGTGAGGACTGATATGGAGATGCTGTAAACAAAGGTCCCTCTCCACCTTCAGTGATGAGTGACGGTGCTTTCGAAGTACCAAAGGCTAGAAGCGAAGAGCTCCCAAATGGAGGGACCAAAGGATCATGTACATTGACTGTGGGTTGGAGGTTTAGGGCTCAGAAAAGTAGGGGGTGAGAACTTGCCCCAATTTTAGCTATCTTCACTCTCAAGATTGGAAACTTTCCTGAGCATTATTTAGAATAACATTTAAGAACATATCTAAACACTGAAGTACATTGTGGTACTCCCTCATCTATTTGAATCTTATGAGGATGAAGAAAAACCATCAGAAAGTCGGAAGTGTTTACGATGGGATTTTAAATGGTGGTATTCACTTGAAGAGTTCTCTTACTGAATTTGATTTCAAGAATGCTCTGTGCCCTGGTTGGTTTTGGTCAGTGGTTAGAGCATCAACCTATGGTCCAGAGAGACCTGGGTTTGGTTCCTGCTAAGGGCACGTACCTCGGTTGCAGTTTGTCCCCAACCCTGGTTGGGTCGTGCAGGAGGCAGCCACTCAGTGTGTACCTTTCACGTTGCTGTTTCTCTCTCTCTCTCTCTTCCTCTCTCTCCTATCTGAACAAAAAAAATGGAAGAATGTCCTCCAGTGAGGATAAAAAATAAAAAGAATGCACTGTGATTCTGATTCTATCAGCATTGGTCCCCGCCATCTGGATTTTTTTCCTTACTGGACCTTCCTCTTCGTTTGCTTCCAGGACAGTACCTGGATTCTGCCACATCATTAGTCCATCCCAATGGTCCTGCTCCATGGATTATCTTCGAGATAGTTTATTTTACTTTCCCCATGAGGATGCATGTAATCGTGCATTTTACTTTCGCTCAGATGGTTTCCTTTCTTTCTCAGTGTTAAATATTTCTTTTGATAATTTATGTAATTTTTATTTACCTTATTCTAACCCACAAGAAGGGACCATCATTATGACTTTCATATCAAGATATTCAAGTTGTAAACATGTTTAATAGAAAGTGACTTTAAAAAGACTGCTTTGTCTGATGAAGACCAGAATTTAGAAGGCAAAATATATATATATAAAAATAATTTTCCAGGTTTAATTTTTTCATAAGATTATAGGAGATGAGCCCTGGCTGGTTTTGTTTAGCAGTTAGAGCATCGGCCCACGGACCAGGGAGTCCCGGGTTCGGTTCCCGCTAAGGGCATGTACCTCCATTGCATTTTGTCCCCGGCCCTGGTTGGGGTTGTGTGGGTGGCAACCAATCGATGTGTCTCTCTCACATCAATGTTTATCTCTCTTTCTTCCTCCCTCTGTCCCTCCTGCTCTATCTGAAGATGAATGCAAAAGTGTTCTCGGGTGAGGATAAAAAAAAAAAAGATTATAGGGGGTGAAAAGTGATGACTCAGTTACCATTTGTATCAACAAGGACCCCTTTACAAAACATATGTTGCAATTTTAGAGACCCAATATTATAACAATCTTTCTTATTTCACCACATACTAGCCTTCTGGCAATTAAAGCTTAAAGATAAAATCATTTTTAAAAGTACAGCTGGTTAAGTCAAACGGCTATTTAGTGCAATGACAAATGCAGTTGAACTATTTTCCAATGTATTAAAACAATGCCTGTGTGTTTAAACGAAACTCCCTTTCCACTTCATTCATTCCACTTCAATTCACTAAGAGAATGCCAGTATTTTCTGTGTCTCAACTTAACGTTTCTTCTGCCTACAACTTACTTCCTCGGATTATGCAGAATATTTCTTTAGTCTCTTATGTTGTTACCCATATTCTTCTTTTCTTCTCATCTATTCTTCCATTTATTGCTTTTTCTCTGTTTTACATTTTCAGTGTTTAGAGAAACAAAATGGAAGAACCACAGCACTTACCATTTCTACCAAGGATAAATATAAAAACATCCCAGCAGTAACGGTCAAGATCCAGTTTTGAACACAAGGATCAGCTGATACCGAGAGGCCAATGTAGAGTCCTATGAAGGCAGTGAGGGCACTTATAAAATTCATCAGGATGGCAATTTTAATAGGAAGTCCAGAGCTCAGGAGCACAGCAAAGTCTCCTGAAATTTAAGGAAAATATAAAATATAATTATCAATTAACTGGTGATGGCTTTGGTAGAGTAATGTGCTATTAGGTTGTTTCAAATATCAGCAATTGGGATCAATTTTATCAGTTAAGCTGAATGGTCAGTTAAGAAACCGTTTTTCTATATTCTCTAGGATTCATAGCTAACTCATTGTGCAATTAGGAAGTTACATTTCAAGAGTTCCACTCCTTTTTACTGCTCTCGAAGATAGTACATACAGAGAGAGTTGTGACATGCTCTTTAGTTTCTAACATCCTATGAACCTGTGGCATTTTCAGCTTAGATAAATGCAAAACAGAGCAAAAGGAAGAAACTCTTGCCTTTTGCAAAAGCATGGATGGACCTACAGATTATAATGCTAAGAAAAATGAGCCAGTCAGAGAAAGACAAATACCATATGATCTCATTTATATGTGGAATCTAATGAACAAAATAAACTGACAAACTAAAGAGCACCAGAGTCATGGATACATGGTACAATCTGACAGATGTCAGAAGGGAGGTGGGTGAGGTGGACAGAATGAAAGAAAGTAAAGAAAATAGCCAAAGAACACATATGCAAAGGAAGGAAGGAAGGAAGGAAGGAAGGAAGGAAGGAAGGAAGGAAGGAGAGGGGGGAGGGAGGGAGGAAGAAAGAAAGAAAGAAAGAAAGAAAGAAAGAAAGAAAGAAAGAAAGAAAGAAAGAAAGGCAAAGAAAGAAAGAAAAACAAAGAAACAAACAAACAAAGAAACTTCTTGTCCCAGGATTTCTAAATCTTTTTGCCTGGAAACGTGCCAACCAAAATCACGAGGTAGTCAACATTATGTGGGCTTTCATTATTTACTTATGTAGGAACTGCTTTGGGAAAAGAGAAAACCACTTCATATGAGATTTTAAAATCACTGCCAAAGTTGATTAAAAAAATTTTTTTTTCCTTTAGAAAAAATTTTAAGGCCTTAATTATTTGAAAAACATCACATTCTCTCCTTTCCTCCAAGAGAAGAATGGCCTATTAATCCGAGCGCCTCTATGTCTTAGTTCTGGGCTGAGACGAGGATGGAATTCAATAGAGACAGCCTGGGGACCGAGTTTCCTAGTTCCATTGTATAACTGTCCTATGAACAGGTCTTAAAACATCTTTGCCGGCCTGGCCCAGACCGTCACAGTCCCCTGTGGTTTTACTATAGTCGCTCAAGGCAGGACCATGGGATAGGGCACCCACACCAGGCACGTTTCAGTGGATTCAGGAAGGACCTTGGATAGACAGCTTCCAGAGGGACGGGTCAATGATGAGTTGGCAATAGGACTTCTAACAACAGACACCAAACACACAGGACAGGGTTGGCCCAAGGGGGCGTGTAGGTCTGAAAATAGGAGCAGAAAGAGTGACGACCGGAGTCCTCTCTCTGGGCTGTGTATGTGCCGGGAGCCAGCCCCTCCTCCTTCGGGGTCTGTGTCATTAGTGAAATTCTAGCTCGTCTTGCTTCCTGGGCCGCAGGGTTATAGGGCTACTAAGGTTATCCGGAAAGAACATCTTATCCGCCTGTCATATCCATTTTACAGTTGGCTTTAGATATCTTCTATAAATCCAGTTGATGAAACCACAGTTTGGCTTTCATTTAAATGTTATTTTGTCTCACTGGCCCGTTTGCTGACATAATGGGTAAAGTTCCCCTCTTTGTGTTTTCCCACATTTACTATGCCGATTTTAAAGTTCTTGCCAGAGTTCCTTAAAAGGAAGTTTCTCTGAATGCCCTTCTCCCATATATAATGCTCCAGGACCCAGAGAGTCGCTTCTGGCCTTGGGAAATAGATCCAATTGAATTTTATCCCAAGGTACAGGATTTTTTCTAGTTCTTTACTGCCTTTTAAAAAACATATATGTTTTTATAGATTTTTTTTTTTTTTTTGAGAGAGAAACATCGATGTAAAAGAGACATCAATCAGCTGCCTCCTGCACATACACACACACACACACACACACACACACACACCCCACTGGGGATCAAGCCCACAACCCGGGCATGTGCCCTGCCCAGGAACTGAACCAGGACCTCTCAGTCCATGGGATGATGCTCAGTCCACTGAGCCACAGCAGCTGGGCTGCTTTTTTATATAAATTATGAAAGAAAAGTTAGTCTTCATCTTTCCATCAGGTTCTGGAAGAGGAAGCCTAGGAAACCATAGCTAGAAATATATTATGATTTTTCTCAACACGCAGGAAACAGTGACTCCCCTGTCAGACATACCCATTTCATGTGGGATTTCATGACACAAGATGGCGATGGTCGTGGTGACTCCAGACTCGGATGAAGACGAGAAGGCTGCTCCTATCACGAGGCCATCTGCGAAATTATGCAGGCAGTCCCCGACCAGTATCATTACTGCTAACGAGTTCACGGATTTGCCTAAAAAATCAGACGAAGGCGTGGGAAGCATTAAAAGAGCACTGCATATTTCACGGACTCCATCACACATGACCAACTTCCCCATCCACCTCCGACCCTCTTAAATTGCATCAGATGAAGTAACCCCACTTTGTTCCACTTTTCCAAATAGGTCAGGACTGACGATGCAAATGTGGTAACCAACGTGCTTGGCTATACGGTCACTTTTTTTTTAATGGGTCTAACGATGAGACGAACTGTTCAGTGGCAGTTACTATTCTAGCACCTTGTCCAGCTGTGCCCTCCCTCCCCCCAAAAAGAAAAATAATATTGTTATAACCTCCCAAAATACCAGCAACGACTTTTCCATGTGTGTCTTTTGTAAAGCATTTTAAGATCATTTAAGAACCTCCCGGCAGAATGTCATTAAAATGGAGTTTATTTTCCAAAACTCTCCCCTCTGAGTCAGACTATCCCTAGTGTCAACCTGCAAGAGGGCCCTTTCTGCTACCGTGTGATCACTGTGTCTCCCTGTCTGGTTGTTGTTAATAATCCTGCCAAAGTGCCTCATCCACTTGCCATTTGTGACCACGACAGATCACTTCGAGCTCTGCTGATCCCAAAGTTAGCTCTGAAACAATTACTTAATGTCCTTATCTTTCTGAAAATAACTTTCAGTACTAGGCCAGCTAGACATCGAACAAAATAAGGAAAAGCTGTTTTCCTGGGATTCTATTATAATATATATGATCTGATTGGTGAAACGTCCATGAACCAATTTACATCATTATAGGTTTAATTAATGAAATAATTTAGATCGTGACCAGGTTCAAGTTTTTAACGCACAGAATTTCTGTTTTCAAAAAACCTAAGAATATATGTTAGCATCACCGCTTGTGGAGTTGAATGGCTATGCTAAGGTGTTTCAGAGATGCCACTTACTCTGGCAATAAACAATCTAGGTAAACCATTTGGTAAGAAAAGCCATTGCAATCAATGGCCATACTCTAAAACTTCACTAAGTACTCAGCTGCTATCTACTGGGTGACAGGTGTAAGTAGCAGCTGTTGTTCCGGTTAGAACTGAACACAGCATTCTAATAGTTGTACTCAATAAAAACAGGAAGAGGTTGCCCCCCTGGTTTCTGTTACGTGGTCTAAGACTGTAGGAAGACTGTATTATGATACAGTTAGCTATTTTATTTGGGGGGATATAACTTGATTCATTTCATGTCCCACGCCATGAAACAAGTAACTCCAGCCAAGTGGACGGAAGATGTAACCCAGACTAACAGCCAGGGGAGAGCTGTTTTGACTGTGTTGCAAAGATGTCCCATGCATTTTACTCCTAATAATTGTCCTTTATTTAGAACTATCACTGTGAGACTGACTTATATCCTTCTGGTAGTTTACTAATTCATTTTATTTTTTTATTCAAAATGAGAAGATTCCAGGCAATGGTCATAAAAACACAGACTATATCTCAAATTATTGAATTCAGGGAGTTCTTGTTGGCTTTGCCTGGAAACGCTCAGAAACTAATAATGTTACCAGCTGTTCCTGCCACATCTCAGAAATAAAGCTCTTCTTTGTGAAAATATCATAAAATGAAATAATGTAAAGTAACACAGTGGACAACATACCAGCATGCAAATAAGTTATAATTTCCACCTGCCTGCATGTAGTATTGATATTAATAGAATATATTCAAGTGGAAAATGTTTACCTATATTTACATTTTGCTAAGAAGCAGTGTGGCCTATTTTTGTTTTCTGTTATTTTATTATCTCTGACTATGGGTGTCTAAATGGCAAATCACAGACATGTTATAGGCCACAAGGCAAATATACATTTTTGCATGTAAGCCGCAAGGAACAGGTTATGCGAATTTTTTTAAGATAATTGAAACATTATTCAGCAGAAGGTAAAATAAGCATTCACTGGAAATGCAAAGTACTCATTACAGACTGATCAGTAATATTTACCTCTCCTCATGGACCTGGCAGTCACATTGAGTTCCACGTTTCTGACTTAGCAGAGATTTTCCCTGGTGGAACATGGGCTGGACCTTATATCATTTTGCTTTTTGTTTATTTAAATCAGACCATGGATAGCATTTTCGCATCCTGTCTTTTGAAACACAAGCTGGACTCCACCAATAAAGTAATGTGAAACGAGTAATCAAATATTTGAAGCTAATTCAATATGTCCCTGGCAAAAGGGCAGTTGAGTAATTGAATTTGGGGTCATTCATTATTCATTCATTCTGTGTGCCGAGCTGGATATCTGGAGTGGAAAGATATGAGGGCTATCATAAGACCATCACTGCTCCCTGATCTAGCATCTGCTCCTTGCTCCTAATTTGACTGAGCAGATCCTTCTTGCCTCTTGCTTCTTTTCAAAAACATTGTAGGAAATTCTAACATAGGCATTCTAACATATCTCCTGGAACTGAAGATTTAGAAGGAAAAACTGTACTATGTTCTGAAAGCAGAATTGGACACGCTATGTAATTATATATTTTGAATCAAATAAATAAATTACAAGAATTAATATTTCTAACACCTTTAGAATAGTGATAGGTACAATCATGTTTGTTCTTATTAGTATTTTTTTTTATCCTCACCCAAGGACATTTTTTCGTTTTTGTTCAGATAGAGTGGGAGGGAGAGAGAGAGAAACATCGACATGAAAGGGACACATCGAGTGGTCACCACTCACATGACCCAACCAGGGCCAGGGACAAACTGCAACCGAGGTACATGCCCTTAGCGGGAACCAAACCCCGGTCTCTCTGGACCACAGGCCAATGCTCTAACCGCTGAGCCGAACTGGCCAGGGCTGTTCTTATTAGTATATTCACAACCACATTGCAAACTAGAGATGAAGACCATTCTTATTTGTATTCTCTTCAGTATCAGTGCCTGAAACATGGCATGTCTTCAGACATTTCTTAAAATATGTTATTATTGATTTTTCTTTTTTTTTAGAGAGAAAGGAAAAGAGAAGGAGAGAAGAGAGAGAAATATCGATGTGAGAGAACAGTGATTGGCCGCCTCCTGCATACCCTACAATAGGGATCAGTCCCACAACCTGGGCATATGCCCTGATCAGGAATCGAACTGGTGACCTCTTGGTGCATGGGTCAACGCTCAAACATGGAGCCACACTGCGGGGCAGACATTTCTTGAATGAATAAAAATATGAGAAATCACAGGGATGCTTGCATTAAGGAATAATCACAGAGAAACTGTTGGGTCATTAGCATCTCCTTAGTGCCTCACAGCTGGAGTTCACTAGCTACATAATCTTGGGCAGTGACTTATCCTCTCTAACAATTGCTTTCTTCACTTGTATAGTTTGAATAATTATTCTTATTTTATTAAACTGATGAAATGAGATAATCCTTGTCTTATTTTTTAGCACTATGCTTGGCATATAATAATTGTTCAATAAATGGTAACTATTTTTATTATTAGGTAACTAGCTTATTATGGTAGAATGAGGATAACTAATCATAGCTGCTTAACGTTAAAACACTAAGAAGTGGGTGTCACAAAAAGGTAACATAAATGAGAAAATTGGGACAAAGATTCAGGAGTAATTGATAAAACTGACCCCCAAAATTCTAAGACTTATTCACAAACATAAGCAAAAGAAATAAATTCCTAACCAAAATTGGCAAATTCAGAAATAGAGAAAGTCACAGAAAGAAGATTGGTTGAAAATTGTATGAACAAATGAGTTATAGAATAAGATGTAAATAATGAATATTACTGATTTGAACTCCACCAACTTAAATGAGAATATCACAAATGACTTAGACATTTATGATCAATTTTTAGTAGACAGTGATTGACGATTTAAAAAAAATATCTTCAAACTTCACAGGAAGTGAAAGATTTAATCAGCATGTAAGCATGCTTTTAAAGGAACTCTGATAACCACATATGGATTTTCATAACTGAAGTTTTTAGATGATCAGATTTAAGCAATTGGGGAAAACAACATTTTAAAAGAATGGAGTAAAGTTGATATAAATGTGTGTTATGTTTGAAAGACTGATGAGAATGTCTTTATTAAAAATTCCACTGCAAAGATTTTAGTAATGAAATAATCAATATGAAATTTACGGCATTAATTTTAAAGCAGACATAACCTTTTTCTATGGCACTTTATACATTTAATATTTAGCTTTTTTAAATTAGTACTCACACTTTTTCTTTTTTCTTTTTCATATATCAGTAGTTTGTATATTGCTCGGTAGTATACTTTTCTTTTCCTTTTCATTTATTTATTTTTCTATTGCCATTCATCCCTATACCTTCTTCCCCCTCCAACCCCCCCATACTCACCACACTGCTGCTGTGCCCATGAGTTCCCCCCCTTCCTTGAGTACTCACATTTGCTATTGGAGGCTGTCACACTGCCTATAGGAATTTCAGCTGCCTGGGAATCTTCTGGGCCTTTCTATTGTAAATGAAAAAATAAATGATAAAAGATAAGCAATGGTTCATTTTTATCAAAAAATGAAACATCTGAAGAGTTATGTTGCTTTTTTTTTTTTTTTTTTAATCCTCACCTGAGGACACTTTTTCCATCTTTTTTGTTCAGACAGAGTGGGAGGGAGAGAGAGAGAAACATCGACGTGAAAGGAACACACCGAGTGGCTGCCACCCACACGACCCAACCAGGGCCGGGGACAAACTGCCCTTAGCGGGAACCAAACCCGTGTCTCTCTGGACCTCAGGCCAATGCTCTAACCACTGAGCCAAACCGGCCAGGGCTTATGTTGCTTTTTAAAAGACATTTTGATGCTCTAGAACTTACAGATTCCACAGACAAACACAGAAGGTGTGGCTGAGAGTCAGAGCGAGCTTTTGGCATTCTCTGCGTTGAGGTGAAAATAGCACTCACGTAGGTCAGTCTCCCAGGGACTGCAACAACTATCGGGACAGTCTGTAATTCAGGCTCCGAAATTATGTAAGCCTTTATGAAACCCAAAAGTTGTAGGAAAAGAGATTCCTGATTCTTGAGCTAATTTAGCTCTTCTCCTGATTGCAGATCTAGAATTCATCTTCTGATCTTGAAGCAGACCGTGTGCTGTGGGTGGAGAAGTAACCCACGCCAACACACACGTTGCATTCATCATGGCATAACATTCCGGTTCCTTGCTTTATCAGGCAGTAAAAGCATCTTGTCGATTAAGAAAGAAGGTTAACAGAATCAGAAAGGACAAATATAATTGTTAAAGTGTTCTCATCCTTTCATATAACAGGGAAGTGAGATTTTGAAATCGATGTCTATAATATGAGTTAAGATTATGTGATTTTGTTTCAGAGACTGACTCACGGTTCAATTTCTGGAAAGTTACGTCCCCTTCCTATGCCTCAGATTCTGATTTTATTATGTGAAAATAATATTTTTTATCTGCCTTTTTAAACACGTTATTTTAAAAGCACATTTAGATAATTCTATCAACCAAAGTCATGGAAACTTTAAAATAAATTTAATGTGAGACATAAGTTCTTTTTAAAATATAAAACAGGAAGTGAACTGAAAGTTTACATGTTAAATAATAGTGGGTATTCAAAAAATGTAATGATAGGCAACTTTTTTGGAAAAGGATGCTGAGAGAAGACCTAAAAAATACAGGGTTAAAGGAGGTACACAGGCCTGTTGCTTGAGATTGGTGTAATTAACCTCCCCCCAAATTGGATTATTTGTTACATTATATCAAAGCCTGATTATAATCAAAAGTCTCTATAGTTCCATTAAAAGACAGGAGATCAAATATATATTCCAGGGTTTTTCCTCCAAAATGCTATATCATGTTACACTCTGTTAGGGAATTTAGAAGCAAACATCCATAATTCCTTATTGATTTGAAAAAATTGTGAGTTCCCCTCCTGCCTGAAAAACCAGAAATTGAACCAAATGGTTCATAAAGTTCATATTATTTCTATTTGTTTACGGGTTGTTGGTGTTTTTTTTAATTGATTTTAGAGAGAGAGGGATGGAGAGAGAGAGAGAGATAGAAACATTGATGAGAGAGAACATCGATTGGCCACCTCCTGCATGCCCCCCACTGGGGATTGGGCCCACAACCTGGGCATGTGTCCTGACTGAGAATTGAACCAGCGACCTCTTGGTGCCTGGGTCAATGCTCAACCACTGAGTCACACTAGCCAGGCGGTATTTGCTTAGGTTTGATCTTGCAGATTAAATAATAAAAGGAATGGTGAATGTATTATTAATGAACTAGCATATTCAAATACAACTAAACTCATTAAGTTAGCATCAGAGATTCTTTTACACACATCTCAGGGGTGTGGACCCTTCAATCAAACAGAGGGAATGGAGTCAGGATTAGAGTGATTTTAAAACTAATCTCAGCCTGAAGTTATCATCTTTCCAACCACATGTGCAATATCTAAGCAATAAACACAATAAGGTTTTTAAAATCACTTTTTAAAGGAATGTTTTTTGGCCCTGGCCAGTTTGGCTCAGGGGTTAGAGTGTCGGCCCTCAGACAAAGGGTCAAGGGTTCGACTCTGGCCGGGGGCACACACCTGGCTTGCAGATTTGATCGCCGGCCCCAGTTGGGGTCGTTCAGGAGGCAACCAACTGATGTGTGTCTCTCAAATCAATGATTGTCTCTCTCTCTCCTCCCTCTCTCCCTTGCACTCTATCTAAAATTCAATAAAAAATTCTCCTTGGGCAAGGGTTAACAAAACAAAAAAACAGCCCTGGCCGGTTTGGCTCAGCGGTTAGAGCGTCGGCCTGCGGTCCGGAGGGACCCGGGTTCGGTTCCCGCTAAGGGCACGTACCTCGGTTGCAGTTTGTCCCCGGCCCTGGTTGGGTCGTGTGGGTGGCAACCACTCGATGTGTCGCTTTCACATCGATGTTTCTCTCTCTCTCTCTCCCTCTCACTCTATCTGAACAAAATATCGAAAAATGTCCTCGGGTGAGGATAAAAAAAAAAAAACAAACGGAACTTTTTTGTTCCTATCTCTGAATTAGCTCTAGATCTGCAATTTACTGTCCACTTCTATGTGCTATGTTCCTGATAAGATATCTTACTTATCTCTACTCAGTTAGGAATCTGTCCTTGAACTATAAACCCCTTCCCCAAGGCCATGGTCACAGCAGGCAAGTTTTCTGTTATATATTACTTTCATGGTTTGCCTGTCCCTTTACTTGTCACTTTGAGAATTAGAACGGGAATACTGTTTTGAACCTGACTGGAGGTTATGTTTGGAGAATTCACATGGATCATTTTGTCATGGAAAGTTCAATGTAACAGAAAGTACTTAAAATGAGACATGTGGTTGGGCAGGATGACTCCCTTCTCTCCTTACTGCGAAGTGAACACCCCACTCCTGGATCCACGAATCCTTGTTCTACATTTACCTGCATCTAGCCATGGCCAAGGGTTACTCAGAATGGAAAACTAACCAAAGTTTAACTGGTTCATGAAAACTTGTAAACCAAATGATCACATTGCTGTATATTACGTCAATCGAATCCACGCTTGTTCCAACGTGGTGCAGATGGCAAAGATCTGTATCTATAGAACATGCTTTTCACACTTTAAAACAGCTTTCAAGTGCCTGGCAAAGTTTTCCAAACTATGTATCATGGTCAAGAATATAGGCAAGTCAAGAGTGGATTCTAGATCTACCCTACTGATTTGTATCTAGTAATCAAGTAATAAAGGAAAGAAGGTAATCAAACCGGTAGAGTCATTCAGATCAGTAACCTACCAACTGGATAGTTGAAGCAGATTTGCCTCTGCCTGACTGGTCACTTAATTCAGAGTCGAGTGCAAGATGGTGGGAATGTCCCACATGCCCATTAACCAATGACACGCCCTGCTAGATGAGGATGGTTTAAAATTAGTGCTGAATGGATGGACCTGGAGAGCATTATGCTAAGTGAAACAAGCCAGTCAGAGAAAGACAAGTATATGATTTCACTCATATGTGAAATTGAATGAACAAACTGAACTACCGAGCAAAATAGAGACAGACCCATAGACAGAGAGCAGGCAGACAGCTCTGGAAGATGGGGGTGTGTTGGTTGGGGGTGGGGGGGTTGAGCTAAAAAGAGAGAGCTCATGGACACGGGCAACAGTGCGGTGATTACAGGGGGAGTGTAAGGGGTGACGGGGTGGAAGAGGACATCAAGGGGATAAACGGTGATGGAAAAAATAAAATACAATATAAATAAAACTAGTGCTGAAGCTGGAAGAATGCAAGTGCAGCCTTGGTCAGCCCGTGGCTCTGTTTAACATTCTGCTTGTTGCCCAGCGTGGTGGGCGGCACAGAAAGAGAAATGGGAGAAGGTCACGTCGATGAATACCTGCGGAAATGCCTCGGCTTGGAGACGCACGGGACTGCTTCACGCATGTCCACGGTGCTTTCTGAAAGCACCCTCAAGAATTTTCAAAGACTGGAACAGTGGTGACTTTTGTAATGTCATTTTTACTTACTACAAAATTAACTTTTTATTTTTTCTGATGGAAATAACCAAATGGATGATCATTGAAACTGTATTATACCCTAAAATGATTACATAAAAAATATCCTGATTACAGAAGCACTTGTAGCTTCTAAAACATGTGCATTTCTTTTATTTTACATAATATCACGAATCCTGACGTTACATTTTTAAAACCCATTTTAAGTTCCCAGACAAATACAAGGACAACCTGAATAAACTCCACATTTCTGGATGTTCAGCATTGATTTCACTCATTTCCATCCTGGTTAAATTTCTCATTATTAAACACAGGTGATACGTTGGCTCTGTAATTTCGTTTTCCCAGTTCAGGAATGCTAATCCATTATGTATAAATAGTGATCTATTGTTGCTTATTAGGATTAGAACCCCTTTTATGAAGATTAATGTCCCAAACTTCTACAGCAGCTGATATGGTTGAAACTTGAATTCTCAGTTTTAATTTTATCCTAGCTTGGGCCCTGAGCCATAAAACAACCCTGCTTCATTAAAACAAATTATTTTGCAGGATTCTGTTTAAAATCTATTTATTATAAATATTTTCAAATATACAGAAAAACTGAAAGAACTGTAATGTGAACACTTATATCCACTTCCTGGTTCTGTGATTGACGTTTTGCTGTATCTTTTTTTTTGTGGTACATGCCCCTAGCAGGAACCGAACCCGGGACTTTCTGGTCCGCAGGCTGATGCTCAACTGCTGAGCCAAACTGGCCAGGGCTGCTGTACCTTTTTTTTTTTTTTTTTTTATCACACATATAGCCATCTAGCAGCCCTCTGTCCATCCACAAAACCATCTTTTTCTGATGCATAAAGTAGAATTGTTGAATCAACTTAGGAATGCTAATAAAGAAGTGCTGATATTTTAAAAGACTACTAAAGTTTGACCTGAGCACAGTCAGGGATAAGAAAAAATCCACAGAGGACTGCAGAGCGTCAGGACTTCGTCAAGAAAACTTGCTTTATTTTAATCTCATGGAGTCTGCCTAAGTATGTACCTTTGTAACCATCCCACCAAACAGTCCAATGATTTGCTAATAGCATAATGTGCAAGAGCAAAGTCCAAAATCATAAATTAACCACACTGTGTTTTATATTTCATCATATACGTAGAAATTGATCAAATACAGGCCCAAATGAAAGCCATAATTAAAGGTAAAAAAAAAAAAAAAGATTTCTTACAAATACCATGCCTGAGCTTCTTGTTCTTATACTTTAAAGTGTCCTAAAGGTAGAAAATAATGGGTACTCTTGTGAGTTTTCAAAGTTTTTGTTTGTTTTTTGGTTAGGAAAGACATTCGGAACACTGGCTGATAGTTAGGCCTCTGGGTCCCTTCAGTCTTGGACTTGAAATAGTCTCCTGTTTCTAAATTAGCCACGAAGGTCAAATAGCAGATTGTATCAAGTACATCAACAGGCCAGCAACAGATGCTTCGAAGTTTAATAACCGCACTTACAGGGAAGTCGCCAGTCAGAATGACCCGCGTATTCCGGAACGCAGAGCCTCGTCCTCGCGGACAAACTCATGACGAGGTCACTTACTTTTGAACAAGTACTTTTACAATAAAAGATGAATACCATGAAGCTCTAAAGCAAATAATAAATAAATTCAAACTATACCTTGACACTTGGTGATACAAGAAGAATAAAACATTTTTCTATCACGAAAAACCCATGGATGCCGACAATGAGCCCCAACAGTTTCCAAATGTGACCTCTGCTTCCATAGAAATGACCAGATTCTGAGGCTTCCTGATTATGTAAACCGAGGACCTAAAATAAGAAGAAGAAGAAGAGAGAGACCCAAAGAAATAACTTTTGATGATTTAAATGTTAATTAGTAGGTCCAGTATTGAATATACTCAACTTTCATTCTGGGGCATCCCATGACAACTCTTGAAATCATTCAAAGCCCAGTTTGCTTTTTCTATATAAATACTTCCACTGTCGGATTTAATCATGGCCAAATAAAATGTGTACAAGCGAAAAGAAGGGAGAGCTTTGAGTAGTCTCTGCTTATGCACCAAAGAAATCCTAAGCTTACTTTAGCAAGTGGCCTAAATTTTCATACATTCTCAGTACTTTAGCTGAATTTTTCTCCAAGAGTTCAAAAAGTATCTGCACAGCAATGCCTTATTGCAAGTCAATGTATTTTATATCCAGAACAAAGATAAAGATATGTTTATTCTGGGCTTTATTTTCCCCATGCCCCATTGCAATTAAAGAATACTTTTAATAAATGTTCAGAGACATAAGAAATCGCCTGAAACACATTTTCCATTCAGTGCATACTATGTGCCCAGCAATACTGTCAGCAACCTGGGACAGAAAAAGATATAAGAAAAGAATTAGGAATTTTCCTCTAGTTGATTCATCCCTTTGGTTGACTCATTCCATTGGTTGACCTCATAATTTCTTGTGAGCTAATAATCATAATGTATTATATTCCTTCCCCAGGAGAAGGCAATTTAAGAAATAGCTCAGTGGTTTCCACAATTAAGATGTTACTGACCGTTAAAAAGAGGAAAAGGAAATTATATGTGTACATATTGGATGCATATATGTTCATATGTATATGTATGTAGATATTTATGTGCGCAAATATATATTTACACAAAAGTACATGAGTGAGTATATACATTGAGTCTATGGACATAACTAAAGAATAACATACGTTAGTCACCTTTTTCTTTTGGTAAATACATTAAAGGATACTCACCTAATATTTGAAATTACCATTATTGAATAATATAGCAAATACTATAATATCATAAAACAGGAAGAAACCACAACCTTGGAATAAAATGTGGATTTTTAAGTTGAGTAAATTTAGCTAGTTAAAGAAGGAAATAATGACAGTGGCTTTTTTTTTGGTCATTTCTCTGTAGCCCTTTGAATACTTACCATGGATCACATTCAGAAGCTCACTGATTTTTCTAGCTTCCCACCATCCTTATACTGCATCTTCCTCTTCCCAATAACTTCTGTCCTCGTCTCGTTTCCTCAGCTGCCTTCCCAACTTCATGAAACCCACCTAATCGTTTAAGGTCTCCTCTGTGACTTGTCTCTGCAGAGCCAGCTGACAGTCCCACCCACCCCAAACCACCCCTGCTGCCTGGAGCTTTGCCCCCCCCCCCCTCCTCGGTGCGGGAGACCCAGGGAGCCTTACGATCCCTTTGCCTCCTGGGAGTGAGCAGCTCTGCAGACACAGCAATGACCTAGAAAAAGGCCATGGCCACCGCCTCAAGCCAATAAGCCCTGAAATATTTCCAGAAAATTAGATTACAGGGGAAATTAAAACTAATAATGGTTTGTTTCATTTCTGCAATGCTCACTTTGCAATTTTCAGAACATCTAATCATTGTTGAGCCTCTGCGCAACAAGAGTGACCCCGTAGGAAATTGCCAGAGGCATTTGGAAAATTTGAACATCTCAGACTTTGTGAGTGAGCGGGTCATTTGTCCATCACAAGAGGTTTCAGAGGAAATAGACACCCTCCTCTGAAGACCCCTGGCCTGAACTCTTTTGCATCTCAGATCCTGGTCCTTTCATTTCTGACAGACTCAAAATACTTCAACAAAGAGCCAATTTCTTGGTGCTTCCACTTTTCTTAAAGGAAATCTGGACCTGCCTAGTTGGGCAAGATGGTTCAGGGGAAGAGAGGCTACTGATGGTGCTATTACAGAGGTATAGGCACAGGCAAGGCTGTGGACACAGGATAAGAGTCGCCCCAAACTAGCCACCCCAGGAAACCATCAACACTCAGTGCTGAAAGGGCAAAGGTTGGAAACAATGTTACTAAAGCTCAGGGGGAGGGGGAGCCGGGAGGAGGCCTCCACGGAGCTGTAGGACTGTGTCTTCTAAACCTTTTCATCTCATGGTACACATAAACTAATCGCCACAACTCTGCAGCACACCAAAAAATATTTTTTTTTGCTGATCTGACCAAAAAAAATAGGTATAGTTTTGAATCATTCACACCAGATGGCAATTGTTGTGTTGGTTGTTGTCATTTTTTTATTTGTCAATCTAAGGGGGAAAAAAGGTCAGTGGCCTTGACTAAATAGTCAGGTATTGCCTATTATAAAAATGACTGTGGCCCTCTGGTTGAAAATCACTCTTGTCGAGCAAATACCAGAGCCAGGAAGGGCAGGAAGAAATGCCCTGCCGCTCACTCCTCCTCCCTCACTCTCCTGTTGGGCCTCACATTGGCTGAACCCCACCATCCAGCCTGCAAGGGGGCTGAGGAGATGCAATCTTCCCAGGCACAACAGACAGCAGAGAAGGGCAGCGGATGAAACGGATGAGTTTGGGGGGCACTGGAGAAGCCAGCGCAATGTCTTGCAGCCCCTTCGTTTTTATTTATAGGTAATTAGTAAATGCTTCCTGAATTTTTCTTAGTAGGAATCTACATGTGGTCACCATTTTTTATTTCAAAAATAAGAATAGCATGTGCTGAAAAGACTAAAGGAGTTCATCACCACCAAACCAGTATTATATGAAACACTGAACGGTCTTCTTGAAGAAGATGATCAAAAATATGAACAATAAAACAGCAATAAATACAGATCTATCAACAGTTGAATCTACAAACAAAATGAAAAGCAGAACCGAAACAGACTCATAAATACAGAGAACTTTTTGTTGGTTGCCAGATGGGAGGGGGTTGAGGGGATGGGTGAAAAGGTGAAGGGATTAAGAAGTACCAATTGGTTGTTAGACTGAGGAACCTCAAAGGGAAGAGGGTACCGGGGCAGCATGAGATAAACCGAAGAACTTCTATGCATATATGCACCACCAATGGACACCAACAATAGTGTGGGGAAGGCAGGAGGGGTCAGGAGTAGGGAGGAAGGGGTCAATGGGGGAAAAAAGAGGGGACATCTGTAATACATTCAACAATAAAGATAAGTTTTTTGTTGTTGTTGTTGTTTTCTTTTTAAAGAATGACATGTGGTGAACATAAGAACTGATCCTCTCTTTTCTCTTACAAGTGCTTTGTAGAAATAATATTCATTTCCAAGGAAAACACTGGCCACTCTGTCTACTCACTCAACTTGCTGTGAAATTTTGCATGAACACCTCCAACGGCTAAACGTAAAGAGGAGCTGGAAACACTCCGTCGGAAATGGAAAAAGGCAGCTTACCTGAGGGATGAGGTGGAGCAGAGCGTCCCCAGAGAGCGTGCCAACGGCCAGGCCCACGAACAGCTGTAAAATCAGCCGGTAGCTCTCCTCGCAGCTGTGGAAGAGGATCAGCGTGGTCCCGAGCATGGAGCCCAGCGTGAGCAAGGTCACGGCCACCGTGCTGTAGCCGTATTCTGTGTGCGAGGGAAAAGCAGAGGGTCGGGCTCAGCACCCGTCAGCGCCTCCGCTGGGGAAGACAACAGAAGAATCGTCCTACCGCACAGCCGGCAGGGATATGACAGCGTTTTAGGTGTTATACTGGATCATTTTCATTTAAGAATGAAGATTTTCACCGAATAACTCTCTTGCTTTAAAGTCACCCTGATGTCCTCTTATTTCAAAATCACTGTGACAAGCAAGGACCTAGCTTACCTCCCACCCCCAGTAAGTTCACTGTTCACACTTGAAACTAAAACCTCCATGGACAGATACCGGTATGGTTTCCATCTAATCACATTGAACCCTTCTGAAGGCGAGGCGGCGGTGTCACAACGGGAACGTACGCTTTGGGCCCAGGTAGACCCATGTTTTTGTACAAAATGAGTACTTTCTTCCAGAAGTCCTCAAAATCGTTTGTAATATCAAAAGTGTTTATTCTCAATGACTACAGTGAGTGATTGTGTTGGTAAAAACTGATCAATGAATGTGTAACGGTTGATAATAAATCTGAACAACCTACATTTTGGATTATTGTAATAATATTTTATAACCTCTAAATGTATTCCATGTTTCTAGCTGCTATATTTTTTAAAATATTCAGAAAGTGCAATCTTTTAAATTATTCAAACACAAACAAATGTGTGCGGGGGGAGAAGAAATAGAGGAGGAAAATAAAAAGGATTCACAGAAAAAATGGCTTTCAGGGCATATATAAATAATTTGGAGATAAAGCGTTACTCAAACCACCATTTTCATTTGGTTACAGATATTAAAAACAAGAACTCTGTTCCCTGCTTATTTGGAAATGACTAATAAGTCATGGCAAACTAGTTTGCAAACAATGAAGGAAGGTAATTACAAAATTAAATTGTCACTTCCTTTAGTGACTACTTACAGATAAATAAAAAGTTAAATCAAACCCTGTAGTTATCATACTACTTAAAGTCCATTGTAGATTTCAAGAAACTATCATCTTAAAGTTAGCTATAACATAAAATAGTCTATTCTTATTATTCTTATACTTTTCTGGAATGTTCAACCTCTACATTAGATCATATTAATGATTCTAGCTGATAACATGGTAATAGGCTTGTGATTTTAAGATCACCTTTATTGAATTATAAGTTATAAATTATAAAGAAGTCTCATATTAAAATAGAGTTGGTGGTGTATTCAGAGAAGGCAAAAAAACTTTGAAACTTAGCTTTTCTCACTCTCATCACCATACTTTCATTGCTAGGAATCCACTATAGAGTGGTTATTATTTTAATGGACATAGAGTTTTAATTTTACAAGATGAAAAAGTTCTAGAAATCTGTTGCACAACAATGTGAAAATAATACTACTGATCTATAGATACTACACTTAAGAATAATTAAGATGGCCTGGCGGGTGTGGCTCAGTGGATTGAGCATCATCTCCTGTTCTGAGAGGTCCTGGTTCAATTCCCAGTCAGGGCACACGCCCAGCTTGCAGGCTTGATCCCCAGGAGGGGGCATGCAAAATGCAGCCAACCAATGTTTCTCTCTCTCTCCCTTCCTTTCTTTCTAAAATAAAAATCAATAAAAAAAAATATATTTAGAGATTCTAAAATGGTGGCAGAGTGAATGGAAGCTACACAGACTGTCTACCAGGACCAAACTGGAATTACAACTAAAATAAAGACAAATCGTCGGGAAAAAGCAACAGAAAAGCAGCTGGCGAGGATCATATAACCAGGGACACTGACTCGATCCTGGTAGGATTGCGGAGGTGCAAGAGGGGGCTGGGAGCCCACGAACAGCAGCAGCCTTAGCTGTGAGCAGCGCTCTCGGGTTAAACTCCCAAGTGGCTCCAGAGCCCAGAGCTGGGACAGACGCTAAAATAGCCACAGCCACACATCTTGGGCTCCGGCAGAGGGAGGGCAGACTGGACTAGAACTGTGTGGGGACACTTGGGATTTCGAGGGTGCTCAGAGCTTTTGCTGAGTTCTAGCCACGCAGGATGGTGGCCATCTTACTCCTTCCCAGGGCTCTGGGGAAAGGTGGCCCCCTCCCTCACAGATTCAACCCCACCCAAGTGGGCCATTGAAATGCAAATTGAGGCTCACTAACAACCAGCATCTGCCCCACCCTCAGGAAATCCCCTTACTCTGAGCACCTGAGGGAGTTTTTCATTCAATTGAGAACTCAAGGCTCTTCAAGCAACCTACGGATAGCCTCCAGGCGAAAAGCTAGAGGATAATTGTACCATTCCTGGGCTAGCAACTCAAACCAGGAAAGTAAGACTTGACAGTGGTATTTAATGTGGGTCCTCCCTGGCTCATCCAAACCCAGGAGAGGGAGCCAAAAACAGCAGAACACCAACACCCACAGGGAAAATTTGGCATTCTCCAAAGCCCACTGTGATAGTCAAAATGGTGAAATACAGAAACAAAAGCCAAATGAAAGAACAAGAGACCTCTACCAAAGATGAGATAAATGAGGAGCAGTTAAGCAAGTTAACAGAGCTAGAATTCAGAGCCATGATCTTGAGGAAGCTCAACAGCATGAGTAAGGACATAGAGATGTTGAAAATCAACCAATTGGAAATTAAAAACGACCAAGAAGAAATCAAGAATGACATCAGAAATAAAGAACACATTGGAAGGTCTAAACAGCAGAGTAGAGGAAGCTGAGGACCGGATCAGTGAATTAGAAGACAGCGTAGAAAAAATTGACCAATCAGAAAACCAAAAGGAAAAAACAATTTAAAAGGCTTCGACAAAATCCAGCATCCATTTCTGATAAAAATGCTCAGCAATGTGGGAATAGAGGGATCATATCTCGAGATAATAAAGGCCATATATGAAAGACCTACAGCCATACTCAATGGGCAGAAACTAAAAGCATTTCCCTTAAGAACAGGAACAAGATAAGAATGCCCACTTTTACCACTCTTATTTAACATAATACTGGAAGTCTTAGCCACAGCAATCAGACAGGAAGAAAAAATAAAAGGGATCCAAATTGGAAAGGAGGAAGTGAAACTGTCATTATTTGCACATGACATAATATTATACACAGAAAACCCTAAAGACTCCATCAAAAGTCTACTAGACTTAATAAATGAATTTGGCAAAGTAGCAGGATACAAAATTAACATCAAGAAATCGATGGCATTTGTATACACCAATGATGAACTCACAGAAAGAGAAACTGAAAAAATAATCCCATTTATCATCACAGCCAAAAAATTAAGATACGTAGGAATAAACTTAACCAAAGAAGTAAAGGACCTATTTGCAGAAAACTACAGGACATTGAAAAAAGAAATAGAGGAAGATATAAAAAAGTGGAAGCACATACCTTGTTCATGGATTGGAAGAACTAATATTATTCAAATGTCCATATTACCCAAAGCAATCTATAGATTCAATGCAATCCCCATCAAAATACCAATGACATACTTCACAGAACTTGAATAAATACTTCAAAAGTTCATATGGAACCAAAAAAGACCCCAAATAGCCACAGCAATCTTGAAAAAGAAGGACAAAGTTGGTGGGATCACAATACCAGATATCAGGTTATACTACAAAGCTGCTATAATCAAAACAGCCTGGTACTGGCACAAGAACAGGCAGCTAGACTAGTGGAACATAACAGAGAACCCATAAATGGACCCAAGACATTATGCTCAATTAATATTTGACAAAGGAGGCAAGAGAATACAGTGGAGTAAAGACAGCCTCTTTAATAAATGGTATTTGGAAAATTGGACAGCTACATGCAAAAAAATGAAACTAGACCATCAACTTACACCCTACACAAGAACAAACTCAAAATGGATAAAAGGCTTAAATGTGACCCGTGAATCCATTAAAATTCTAGAAGAAAATGTAGGCAACAAGATTTTGGACATCATACACAGCAGAATTTTCACGGATACATCACCTAAGGCAACAGAAAGAAAGGAAAAAGTGAACACATGGGACTACATCAAACTCAAAAGCTTCTGCACAGCAAAAGAAACCATCAAAATGGAAAGGCAACCCACTGTATGGGAAAGCATCATTGCCAATGATGCATCAGGTAAGGAGTTAATTTCCAAAATATATGCTGTACTCATACAACTCAACAAAAGGAAGACAAAGAACCCAATTAAAAAATGGGCAGAGGAACTAAATAGACACCTCTCCAAACAGGACATACAAATAGCCAAGAGACATATGAAGGAATGCTCAACATCACTAGTCATCAGAGAGATGCAAATTAAAACAGCAATGAGGTATCACCTCAGACCTGTCAGAATGGTTGCCATCAACAAATCATCAAACAAGTGTTGGTGAGGGTGTGGAGAAAAGGGGACTCTAGTACACTGCTGGTGGGAATGCAGATTGGTGCAGCCACTATGGAACACTATGGTGTTACCTCAAAAAATTAAAAATTGAACTGCCATTTGACCCAGTGATTCCACTTCTAGGAATATACCCTAAGAAGCCTGAAACACCAATCAGAAAGAATACATGTACCCCCATGTTCATAGCAGCACTATTTACAATAGCTAAGATCTAGAAATAGCCCAAGTATCCATCAGTAGACAAATGGATAAAAAAGCTGTGGTACATATACACAGTGGAGTACCATGCAGCTGTAAGAAAGAAAGCTCTCTTATCCTTTGAGACAACATGGAGGGACCTGGAAAATATTATCCTAAGTGAAACAAGCCAAGCAGAAAAAGACAAATACCACATGATCTCACTTATTTGTGGGATATAATGAACATAACAGTCTGAGGAATAGGGTAGACCCAGAGGCGTGGAAGTAGGGTACAGACTGACAACCCTCAGAAGAAGGGGTAGTAGTGGGAGGGAAGAGATAAACTACAGAACTTATATGCATGTATGCATGACCAATGGACATGGACAACAAAGCTGGGGACGGGGTGGGGGGGATGGGGAAGAGGTGACAATGGGGTAAAAAAGGAGAAACATCTGTAACAAAAATAAAATTTAAAAGATATATATATTTTAAAAAAAGAATAATTAAGATGATAAGTTCCATGTTGTTTTTGCACAATTAAAGTTTAAAATACAATAAAATAGTTTGCAATGGTCATACACCTGCTAAGAACTTTTCTGTTCTAATTTAATAAAAAAAAACTTATGTTGTAAAAAAAAATCCCTGGAGATATTTAACCAAGTTTCATGTCACATTCTTCTACAGATAGATTCTATGTGAGAATGACATTCTTCCCACGTAATACATAAAGACTTTTGAAATTTAATATGAGCACCTGGGTGCCTTATAAAATTCAAAGTTGCCACATTTTTAGGGTGGCTACAAAAGATCATAAAATGACAAGAACAAGTTAGAGTTAACATTTCCAAGGCAAAGTATCAAGTTCTGCTAATGGAGGAAAATGAACGTTTCCTAACTTTAGAGCTTATAGATGTTTTTGTGTCCTCTGTGAGTCAAACTGCACCTGCTCCCATATGGCAAGGACAGCCTCAAAACCATAAAATCTGACTTTTGTGGCTATCAGTCTGCTAACCAACTTACCCCATTTCCCTTGGCATCTTGATTAGAGTCAGGCAACTTGCAGGCAGGTGCTATATAAATACTTCTCATCGTTAGCAACAGAACTTAACATAGTAAGATGGTTTGACTTGGAGTGGTGGGCACACAGTGCAATATACAGATCATGCATCATAGAAATGTACACTTAAAACCTATACGATCCTCTTAACCAATGTCACCCCAATAAATTTAATAAAAAAGAACATAATTAAATTATTGGCCATTCCTGAGCACTACTTTGCATAGGTCTGAAACTTGATTTATACATGGTCATGATTCTCTTTCCTGGAAACTGAATTGGAGGTGACGCTTCGTTTCATCACACTGAACAGTGTTTTCTTAACAGCATCTCCCCGTGTGCTCCCCCCTTCATCTTGTATTTCTGTCATTTCGAAGGACCAGTGCAAGCCTTACCGTTAGTTACATAATGCAACATTTTAAGTTGAGGACAGTAATGTTCTTTAGTGAGTGTGATTTGTTTGAATTTTTCTCAGGAAGACTATTTCATAGAAGGGTCTAGAAGGTCATTAGAAAGATAAAAACTTTTCCACGAATCTTCAGTTCATAAACCCATTCCCCAGGGGCCTGTGTGTACCGAACACTGTGCCACGTGGCAAGAATATAAACATGCTCATAGAAGCTCCTAGGTGCCGTGGTCTGTCCGCCTCATCCATTTGTGAGTCATCAGTGACCACGAGGTGCTGAATTATTTAGCTGCTCACTGTTAATAATGCTTTCTTCTTCTCAGTAAATGTGGAGTTTTCGCTATTTAGCCTGGCATGTTTTTGTTCCCCTAAAATCTTCAAATGATGCTGCAGAATCCACTGTGAGTTAGAAGTGAGTTGTTGATCAATTCAGCTATTATAGGTGCTGCAGACTATCTCAAAGGAAAAGAAAGGCAACTGCAAAAACTTAGAGGACTTCAGATCAAAGGTAATATCTTAAAGGTGGCAGGTGTTAACTGTCCATCTTTTTCACCCATCATGGATATTCTTAGGCAACTATTTTTTTTCTTTAAAGTATACAGTGCTTTAAATTGCAAAACCCAGTTTTGTACACAGTATCGCATTTGCACCTTACAGGTACCCTCTTAAGCCTCACTGTGGAGCTCACCTACGGCCTGGATTCAGTGGGGTCCAGGGCTGGGGGCCGGCACCTGCCTGCACTGGTCGGCAGCATCCCAGAGCAGCCTCTTTGGTGCCTTCGTTTTTCACATGTGCCCTGATGTGTGAAAGGGTGGGAGCCCTGCAGGACATCACCGCTTTCCCACTGTGCAGAGAAACAGACGGGCTCCCGGAAGGGAAGAGATGGCTGAGGATCAGAGTTGGCTGGGGGTAGAAGCTGTGGGTCAACTCTGCATTTCCGATCCCAACATCATATGTGTTCCTTCTCTTCTACCACGCCACCTCTCAACTATGCACTTTTAAGATGGTCTATAACTAAGTCGTATAAAGGGGACCAAATCAATTTATGTAAATTTTCTACAAGATATAAATATTCATTGAAAGCTAGCATAGCACAGAGGTTAAAAACAATGACTCTGGGGTCAGCTTGCCTGGGTTTAAATCCCAGCTCCATCATTTACCACAGGTGTGTCCTTGGGCAAGTCACTTAACCTCTATAGTCACTTAACCTCTATGTGCCTCAGTTTCCTCATCTGCAAAGTGAGGATAATACCTAGGGCTCATAGAGTTGTTGGGAGAATGAAATGGGTTGAAAAGTGTAAAATGCTTAGCACAGTGCCTGATTTATAGTAAATACCCTGTGTTCGTGGTTATTACGACATACACTGGGTGCGTTCCCTTTCTGAGGGGGGAATCAGCTCTTACTCTCCAGAGCGGTAGGCGGCAGGCTTGCGTGTTGGTCCTTGGGCAGCTGGCAGGAGCAGCTGAGCAATTGTTGGATGATTCCTGGACTCATTTGTTTAAAGTCCTCCTTAGAAATAGGTGAAAGGCTGTTCTGTAGAAATATCTCCACCAGTTGCCCAGCAGAGAAGCAAATCTGTATGAGAAAAAGATACATTGTTACACAAACTCACCATCAGTTGCCTTTCTGGCTAAAATGGACACGTGAAGCCATATCATTTAGCTGTTTACATACCTAGAGGACAGCAGCATTTGCCAATTGACATCTCTTCTCCACAACAACAATTGGAATCACTGTTTTTGCCTACTGTGATTTACCAAAATCTTCGCAATTTTTTATACTGTATAGGCATATTTGTAAGAGATAAGGATTACAAATGAACAGGTCTCTAAAAATTGCCACAAGGCATTTGTCCATCTCAGAAATATTAAGGGTTGATTTTGTGTATCAGAAATTACATTAAAAAGTTTTGTATGTGGGTGAGAATGGTACATAGTTCCACTAGCACAGATGGGTGTCTTCTATTGAAATAAGCCCCAGTACAGTGACCTTGTGATCTTTAGTTACAATCAATAAGGGTGTTTTTGTTTTGTTTTGTTTTTGAATCGGGGCTTTTAAAGGCTTGTCTTTTTTAGGTCAATTATTTTCTCCTTTCTGTTTTCCTCTGCATTTATCTATTACCTTTCACAGTGTGGCCTTCTCGCTTTTAGAAAAAACATGGACATAAAATCCCCAACTCCGAAGTGACCTTTCAATCCAAACACTCAAGACTGAGTTGATTCTGCAAGTCCTGATAGAGACCCGATGGCTTCAACAAAACCACCGATGGGCTCTCTTGGGTCAGACATCCATCAGGTTCAATCAGTTTTGCCCACAAGATAGGAGGTGGGGTCATGCTGCTTAAACAAGGCTGTCAGCCTCACCCCTGTGGGTGAGGAAGGTGTTTCCCAGACAGGAACTGGGCAAGAACTCCAAAAGGTATCTGCTTCAAAAAGCAAGAACAGAAAACTAAACCTGTGATTTTTTTTATCAAAATAAAAAATCACCCCAAACTATTATCTTTTGTATCATTGGTTGCTAATAAAATATAATTACTTCATTAAAAACCCTAACAAAAAGTGAAACTAGCAATAAACTTGTGATGATGAATGCCCCATAATAAATATTCTTATTGGAAAATGCTTGACTGGTAAGTAGAAGAGTGGAGAGATAACATGAACAAGAAAGCCACGTTCTTTCCCCAGTTCATTGTCAATAAGCTGAATAGCTCTCGTAGAATATTATTCTCTTGTAAGCTTCTGTGCCCTTGATCTTTATTTGCTTTGCTATTTAGGTCACTTTTTAAAATTTCTTCTGGAATCACTACACAAATGTCCTTAAGGGCAGTGCATTATACTCTATAACACTTTAAACACAATGTATTTTTAATTAAAAAGAAAACCGCATCGATATTTAGATTACTCAGACAAGGACCTTTACAATTTTTTTATTCCTTTACATAAAACTTCAATATATATATGTATGTATCAGAGGTGATACCATCAGAGTTCTATGGTAATTTTGCAAACATATTCTAAAGCAGTGGTTCCTGAACTTTATGTCTGAGAATCCCTTGGAAGTCTTATTAAAAGACAGGCTGCTGCCCGGCTGGTGTGGCTCAGTGGTTGAGCATCGACCCATGCACCAGGAGGTCACTGGTTCAATTCCCAGTCAGGGCACATGCCCAGGTTGTGGGCACAATCCCCAGTGGGGGGCATGCAGGAGGCGGCCAATCGATGTTCTCTCTCATTGATGTTTCTGTCTCTCCCTCTCCCTTCCTCTCTTTCTAAAATCAATAAAAAATAAAATAAAACACAGAGTGCTGGGCTCCATTTTCAGGACTTATGACTCAGTAGGTCCTGGAGTGGGACCTGAGAACTGACACTTCTAGCAAGTTGCCAGGTGACGCCAATGCCGCTGGTCCAGAGACAGCACTGAGAACCGCTGGTCACAATGAGACAGGAAGGAGCCTGAGATCCAGCCTCCTATCTCAGGGTCGCATCAAGATCCACAAGGAAGTGCTATGTCGAGGCAGAGATGAACTGTGGAAGAGGCTGTTTTGTTTATTTTGCACAGTCGGCACAGACAATGATTATTACCGTTCTTAGAAAATGCACGGCTTACGTAGGTAATCCCTAAATTTTAAAAACTAACCTTGGCCCTGAAGAAGCTTTTAAACAGACTTCCTGAACAAGGATTAATATAGACATCAACTCTTGTCACCTTCAGGTGAATATAATAAACAATGAAAGAATCAATTTAAGTAGATACCTTTTCACAGAAAAGTAAGAAAGTAACATAACTTCATTTAAACATGTATATAAAAGTAAAAACATGTGATACTGCCAGGGCATGTATTCATAACTTATGGGAACAGCATTCAGCAGTGTTAGGAATATGTGAGGCATTTTACTCTTTTAAGGTACAGATTATACTCAGTAAGAATATTGCTCATCTGAAATACAAATGACAAAAATAGTTTTTATTTATTTAAGTCAAAATTTCCTCAACAGTAGCATAATTGTTAAGGGCATTGAATATGCTATCAGAAAACATATCAGTTTCCATGAACTGAAGCAATTACTTACTAGCTCTATGCCCCTATTTTCTCATCTGTTAGATGGAATAGTATAACCTAACCTCTTATCATTGTATTAATTCAAGGAAGCAATGCAGGTGAAACAGCACAATGTCCAATACATAGTAAGCACTCAATAAATGTAAACCATTATCATAGAACAACAATTTTTTATGATTTTAAATGATTAGGGCAGAGAAGGATTCTATGGTGAAAGTCTGAGAAATGCTAGACTAAATAAGAATAAAGAAGCTTATTTACTAAAGGACTTCCCAAGACAGTGTAGTGTATATCTCCAGTATCTCCCAAACTCATTTGACCATAGCATCAAGGTATACCGAAGCATCAAGGTATACTGGTGAATGCATTTTGGAATACAACTTTAAGAAATATGGATATGCTTACAAAATCATATATCATCTTTTCTCCAAAACCATTTCAGTGCTACCTACTATACAAATATTATCTGCTGCTCACAGCCCAAAATAATCTCTTTATATTCTAATCTAAATTAATCTAAGTTTAAAGTATTCATTCATAATTGTGAGTATTTATGTAATGTCTATAACCCTCCACTGTCGTTCAAGCTCCATAGAATCTGTGCCTACTTTTGTTCAGTACCATATCCCTCATACCCACAATCGTCATTGGCACATAGTAAAGGCTTAATATATGTACATTGAATTAATTATTCATGTATCCAATATAGACCCAAGGGAGGAAAGAGTAATATATGTTATTCTCCTAAATAACTTGGCCTTTTGTTTATGTTTGCAGAAATCCACTTGTAGAAGGAAAAAAAACATGGCCACTCTGTGGAAATAGAATATTTTTACATTGAAGGAAAATACACATTATCTTTTCAGTTTTCTACAACTCTTATATGACTTTCACAGCTGGGCTTCCTTTGATCGTAGCAAATGATGGTATAAGAGGAATAATGACAATACCTGATCCCAGGAAATTGGACCATCATCTAACTCTTGGTCCATGGACACAGAGCGATTAGGGAAACTCCAATCGTGAATTGTTATGTTGTTTCTTTTCCTTTGAAGTTGATGGACTTTATCTTTCCTGATACAAGTACCTTTGGTCCAGAGAGTGTTGAGTAGTTGGTCTAGTTCTAGAAATTTCATACAAAATCTGGTGTTACACAGGCAAGTCAGTTTCAGAATAATCACAATTTCACATGGCCACAGCATAGATATTTTATTAAGTAAATTTGGTTCTCATGGAAAAGGATTTTATTCTGAACAATAATAAATAGCATTTATACTTCACATGGATATTGGTTCCTTCAGAAGATCTTGGCTAAACTTTGGGGCTGAACCAAACTTAAGAAGATATTCCCACCGTTACATCCCCTGGAGAAGATGAAGGCAGCATTCCACCAATGGAGTGCCTTCCATTGGGCCTACTTCTTTTTCACGTGTTCCCTATGAAAATGTAAAGAAAACATGAAACTGGCCTAATCCTTAAAAAATGTATTCCCCTGAGGCACTACACATCTTTAATAGATTAAAAACTTTAATGTACATAAATCAATCAAATTACTTCTCTCTTAAGTGTTTATCCAGAAAAGGGAAAGGAAATGAAGAAAATGTTGAGATTTAGAGACAAACGAGAACTTTTCTAATGCTCCTGCGGTTTGGTCGTCAGTTCACAGATCGCTGTTCAGTTTCCCTTGGAACAGCTATCGGCTTATAAAATTGATTGATACAGAGAATAATTACATATAATGGTGAATTTCTTTGAATTCATCCATCTTCTTACTTGTGAAGAAAATATCTCTGATATTTTCCTAACTGCTACCTAAGTGTAGGAAAAACTGCAAACTAATGTTACTACAATATTTTATTTTAAATGAAATAAGTTTTTAACAAAAAATTATGAGACTTGCAAAGAAATAGGAAAGTGTGACCCAGAGTCAGGGGGATAAAAAGTAAATAAATACGTCTCTGAGTGTTATTAGATATTGAATTTATTGAAGACTCAAAGCATCTATTATACGTATGTTCAAAGAAGTAAAGAAAATTCTATTTAAAGAACTAAATAAAATTATGAAAACAATAAATAGCAAATTTCAAAAGGAGATAAAAATTATGTAAAAGCCCAAATGGAAATTTTGGAATTGGAGAATACAAAAATCAAAATGAAAACTTCACTGGAGTAGCTAGCTCACAGCATATTTGAGATGGTAGAAGAAAAAAAATCATTGAACATGAATTCAAATTAATAGAAATGATCCAACGTGAAGAACATAAGGGGAAAAAATATGTCTTTTTTTAAAAAGAACAAGTCTTAGGACCTGTGGGAAACAGCAAGTATACTAACTAAATATATATATAATCTTCTTGTGAGTGTAGATACTCACAAGAGAGGAGAAAGAAAGAGAAGGAGAAAAAATATTGGAGGAAATAATGACTAAAAACTTTCCAAATCTGATGTAAAACCATCATATACATGTTCAAAAGTGTCATCAGATATCAAGTAAGATAAATGTAAAATTATCCACACACATTACAGTCAAATTGTTGAAGGTCAAAGACAAAGATAAATCTTGAAAGTGGCAACAAACAAAAATGACCCATCACAAACAAGGGAGCATCAATACAACTAGAATCTGACTTCCCATCCAAACAATGGAATCCAGAATACAGTACACCCATATTTAAAGTGCTGGAAGAAAAAACTCTCAATCAAGAATTTTATATGCAGCAAAATAATACTTCACAACTGAAAGTGAAATTCATTCATTCCCAGGTAAACAATTTACGGAAGAATTCAGTGATAGCAGACCTCCCTTGCAATAAACACTACATGAATTAATAAACACTTTTGGGTGAAAAGAAATGACCCAAAATGGCAAACTGAGCCCGCAGGAATAAATGAAGAGCATTAACAATGTAAATATATGGGTTAATATAAAAGACTCTAAATATAATATTTTTCTCGTTTGTTCTCTACACTCAATGAGAAAACACTACAGGCTTTTCAAGTCAGAAACATGATAAGAATTCAGACCACCTCCAGTGCTATTTACCATTATATATGGATTATAACTGATGTAATTAGATGAGAAATCAAATAGAGACACAATAATTGAAAATGAAGAGGCAAAATTATATTTATTTGGAGGTGTTATGATTGTATATCTAAAACCCTAGACATACAAAAATTAAATAAAATATTTAATCATGGAGCAGGTTATAAAATTAACCTACAAAAAGCAATAACTTCCATGTATATAAACAAAAACCAGTTAGAAGGTACAATGAAAGACAGGACCCCACTGAAGAGAGCCAAAGAGAAAGTGAAATTGCCCAGCTATAAATGTAGTAGGAAATATCTAAAACCTAGGTGAGGAAAATAATAAAACACTCCACAAAAACACACATGTAGACATAAACAAAGGGAAAGATACACTATATTCTTGGATAAAAATGTGCGACATCTTATAAATGTCATTTCTCCATAAGTTAATTTATATATATATTTTTTCTATCATAAGGTTTTTCTCTCACAGCTTGAAACTTTAATGATTTTTTTTGGGAAAAACAAATAAGCCAGGAATATTCCAAAGGAGAGCAATGAAGACAGCTAGCTCTACCATACATTAAAATAAACATGAAGCCATTATAAATAAAACAGTGTGGTATTGGCACGTGAACAAAATGGAGCAATAGGACAAAACAGGAAAGAGAAATAGGTCTGATTGCACGTATTACTGCATTATATACAAGTGACATCTCAAATCAGTGGAGGGAATAATTTTCACTGCATATAAATAAGAGGTATAAGGAAAACTGAGTAGTCACATAATAAAAATAACCTGCATCTATTCCTTACAACACACACTGGCATTAATTCAAAATACATCATAAATGAAAAGATACAAGTACTGGAAGAAAACATGGATGATTTTCTCTATTATCTAGAAATATGAGAAACTTTCCTAACTGTAAGACAAAATCCAAAAGCAAAAAGAGAAAAGTTTGATTAATTTGTTTATATGAAGATAAAAAATATTTAGAGAAACAAGTGATTCTAGGTCTAGGCAGATAAACTGGAATATCTTATACGGGAACACAAAGAAGTTGTAAAATGTCTTAAGGAGTTTGTTAAAGGGACTTAGAAGTGAACTTGAATCAAAGAGGGAAAAATCTGAGTACAGATTAGGGTAATAATGACAAGGATTAAGAGATATAAAATCATAATGATATAAAAAAATGTTCATTGTTCTCCTTTGAAGGATATAAGGAAACTATGTTATTATTTTGAACACTGGTAAATTAAAGATTCAAGTTATCCTTACTTTCAGAACCTCAATAAAATAACATTGTGAAACTTTTTCCATTATATAATTATTATACTAATCAATGAAGAAATAAAAGAATTCAATCACTGTTTCATAAACCCTAAATAATCAATCTAAGCAATGATCATCAATACCTTATAACTTATTTTAAAAAGAGAGACAACTAATGTTATGTACCTTCTGATGGATAATACTGACTATAAGTACCTTCAAATAAATACACAACCTAAAATTAATCAAGCTTCTACATATAACAGCCAATGCACGTGAAACACAGTGCATAGAAATACATATTAAATGACTAGAAATGCATTCAGCAAAATCCAGACTGGATAAACAATCATCCTTTTTTTATAACAAAAAAAATCTGCAACAAAATAGAGAAAGTGTGGGTGGTGGTAGAAAGGGGGAGGCATGAAACCTAAAATGAAACTGAAGAGACAAACACATAATTTGCCTTTTACAGACCTTATTTAGATCCTGATTCAACAAGAAACAAATAAAAACATTTAAATCAGGAAAATGTCAACATTAATGGAAATTTTTATGCTATTAACGAATCACTAATGTGATATTGGTAATTGAAAGGGTTAATAATGTTTTAACAAAATTAAACTCCATTCTGACCAGTTATTCCTGCACGTAAACACCCAAGCAGTTTTCTAAAAAAAACTTTGGGACTGAAACCCAGAAGAAACATAAAGATAAGTGGTTAACGGTGGCCTTGGAAAACTTGGAGGGACCATAAAAAGAAAGAGATTAATGATGGTCCAGAGCTCTGCTGAAGCAGACTCTTCCCTTACCTCTGAGACAGCTTGTATCAGCCCTGGCACCAAAAAGCGGCACCAAGAGAATGTAGTTCTTTTGATAGTTTCTGTAGTTTGTGTCTATATAAGCCAGAAAACAAACAAACAAAAAAACTGGTGCTAAACTTTTTTTGCACCCAGACACATGCAATAAAGCCATTTGGCTCTACACTGGCCTTGCGTTGTGATGTGATCTCCCACAGGCTCAGACTTTTCATTTGGTGCCAAAACCCAGGTCTGTGAGAATCCCATGGAGGGGGCAGCCGTGGGCCCTGGAGTCCTACTGTCGGACCGGGATCAATCACATCCTTAGCTGGATACCGGACCTCCAACCTTTCCTGCCGATCCAGCAGCAACACCAGCCACTAATTCACCGGTGTTTTTTTGCCTACCGGTCTGATTCTCCGGTCTGTCTCGTTATCCCCTGTCCGGGACATGAGAGCCAGGTCTCTCGGTCACGCTGGTGTGATCATCCCTCCGAAATCCAGCGCCGGTTGGGACATGCTCCTTGGGAACCAGGTTCCCTCAGCTCAGCGTATATCTAGGGACGCCTGATATAGGTGAGTTGCACGTCTCTCTACTCTAGGGGAGAAGCGGGGACGCCTTCTTCTTCCTCTAGTGTATCTGTCGGACCGCTAGGCCGCGACATCTCACACTGCAGCGTGGGACAACACCCCTAGGATGTCTCCTAAAAAATCTACAGACCCGAGGGCTCGCTCAGGCTATTACGTCCCAAGCTACTCATTTTTTACTGCAACACTGCGAGGCCTCAGTACAATGGGTCACAATAGCCTGAGAACGGCACCTTCAACATTCTACCAACCTAGGCAATTTCTGTCAAAGGCAAGGAAAATGGTCTGAGGTTCTGTACATCAGGCCCCTTTGCAGTCAGATCACACCCCTCTTCATGCGACTCTTGCTCCCCCTCCCAAATCTTCCTGCTGCGCTTTAATCCTCCCAAACTTCCTTCTGAAGACAGTGCGCTAACTTCTCCTGTTT